CGCTCCGGTCCTCAGTCGGTCGCCAGACGCGCACAAGGTTTGGCTGGCCAGACTATATCCGGTCCGCTGCGCCTTCCTTCCGGTCCGCCCGGGCCGGGTCGAGGCGGTAGTGTCGCGATGGCTCGGCGCGGCGCGGACTCCTCGTCCACTAATTGCGGCACGTTGACGGCCCAGCCGGCGGCGCCATTGTCCCTCCCCGCGCACGCGCGCGCACGCATTTCCTCTGCGATAGTAAAAGGGGTGGTGCGTGGTGTGGCGTCGGAAATGACAGAGAGGGTCACGCTTGTTGCGCCGGCCGGTGCACGCGCGCTTCCTCTGTATGGCACGTTTACCGAAAAATTAAGGGCGAAAACAGCGAGTCCCGCATCGTCACCGTTGCTGGTTGCCCGGGGTGCCAGAACGTCGGCAGGTCGGAAGAAGAACAAACGTCACTTCTGAAAGGGGCCTCCTCGTCGTCCTTCGTCGCCGCTTTGGACCGGGTGATTGTAAGTAACCACTGCCAGACGACTACAAGAAATGCTTTCCAGCGGAGGAAGGACCGCATTCGCTTCGGTGCCGGTCTGTCCCGCTACAGAGCAAGGGCCGGAGGGGAGTCTGGAGCGCTGCGCAGTGGAAGGGCCTTTTCCAGAAAGGTCCGAGGGCACGGCGTGGAGGAAGGGGGGGGCGTGGGCGACGGGCAAGGCTGCAGAGAGAAAGCAGAGCGGGAAGAGAAGGCAGGCGGAGAGAACACTGATTGTGATGGAAGGGAACGTCATCTCGCTCGCTGTTATGGCGGGAACCACCCAGATGCAGGTGCTGGTGCTGGTAATCGCCCTGTAGATCCTTCAATCCCACGGCTGAAATGAACAGCCCTAAAGAGTTAAAACATATCGAAAGATTGATCGAGTGCCTACCCACATTGTAAATACTGAGTGTATAGCTGGCTGCATCAACGCCTGCGCACTAGGCAACCCATTGTCATGCGTGTGTAAATGTTGCCTAGTGCGCAGGAATAGATGCAGCCAGCTCCACACCTGTGTGTATGGGCTACTTATTGCCGACTTTTCGGGCAACCCTGCTGTCACCCTCTCTCAAGTATGACACTCGGGCGTTGAGTCCGTGGAGTTACCCAGAAGTTGTCCAGTAGGAGGCTGACTAAAGAGATGTTTTCGGGTTCCGGCGACTCAGTCGTTACGCAGGATTTACAGTGTGTAGGGCAAGTCCACTGCGCCCACAGCATATGATCTCGTGGTTGTTCATTTATGTTGCAGCACCTCGCTTCGTACACCTGCGTACCCCGCGGATGCTTGCTCGGATTGTACCCAGCCCACTGTACCGTACCCGGGATGGCTGCACTCTGAATGCAACGCGCGAACGCGCGCCCCCCGGAGCCGCAGGACGGCCATGGTCATGGGCGCAGCGGGCGCGCGGCCCCAGCCAACTCCCGTTGTTTCATGCCCCCCCCCC